ATCAGCCCTAACCAGCTGATTTTGATCTTAGAGATATGTTTTCAAGTGTGTGGAAACACAAGGCTAAGCCCCCTATTTATACACAAGGCCTTGCACTACATAACAAAAATATTAATCACTAGTTAATGTCCAAAAGATAAGCAAAGGGAATCTTAAGTACAAGATTACATATTAATTCAAAAATCCCAGATTTAAAAAGTCTTCCAGCTGTATTCCAGCTATCTTCCATTTAGCATCCAAAAGGCAGCAGCTTAATCGTTAAGCCTTCGTAAAACTGTGCACGTATCAGGTGGCTGCTGCTGCAATGCTGTAGCATCAGGCTGTTTTAACAAAAATTCTCCGTTAGTTTGTATCTTTACGTCCCAACAAGTTTAACCACAATATTTTAGCTCCATAATAAAAGTATAAAGAAATAAATCAAAATGGCTCAAAGTGGGAATGAAAGGAAACTAATTTTGACTAAAAAGACATAAATGAATGCATTCTGTGTTGAATTCTCAACACATATCACATAGTCATAAGGAACAAGACCAGGCTTGCTGCCAAGGGCTACTGCCAGAAAGAAGGGATTGACTACGATGAGACATTTGCTCCCGTCGCAAGACTTGAAGCCATCAGGATATTCCTAGCCTATGCAGCTCACAAAGGCTTCAAGGTCTATCAGATGGATGTCAAGTCTGCCTTCCTCAACAACAAACTTCAAGTAGAAGTATACGTGCAGCAGCCTCCTGGGTTTGAAGATCCAAAACATCTAGAGTATGTCTACTTTCTGGACAAAGCCCTCTATGGGCTGAAGCAAGCACCCAGGGCCTGGTATGAAACTCTATCCACCTTTCTCACCAACAATGGATTCAAAAAAGGTACAATCGATACAACCCTCTTTCTCAAGAAGCAAAAAAGTGACATACTACTTATACAAATATATGTGGACGACATCATATTTGGCTCTACAAATGCAAAACATTGTGAAAAATTTTCAGAGTTGATGAAAAGAAAATTTGAGATGAGTATGATGGGAGAACTTAGTTTCTTCCTTGGTCTTCAAATAAAACAAACTTCAGAAGGTATTTTCATCAATCAGTCCAAGTATGTGACTGACCTTCTAAAGAAATACTCTCTTTCAAATTCATCATCGATGAGAACACCTATGGCTACAGGAGCTAAGCTATTTGCTGATCCATCAGGCAAATCTGTGGATGTAACAACCTACAGAGGCATGATTGGATCACTCCTGTATCTGACTATTGGTAGACCATATATTATGTTTGCTACATGTCTCTGTGCAAGGTATCAATCCAATCCTAAAGAATCTCATCTCTCTACAGTCAAGAGGATCTTTAGATACCTTAAGGGAACCCTTCATTGGGTCTCTGGTATCCTAAGAACTCTGGCTTTGATCTAATAGCCTATACAGATGCAGATCATGCAGGTTGCAAGATGGATAGAAAGAGTACGTATGAAAGCTATCAACTCTTGGGGGACAAGCTGGTAAGTTGGACATCCAGAAAAAAGAATTGTGTCTCAACCTCTA